ATTAGATTCCTTCTTACTGCCTTCCTACGAATATGCTGTTGTCCCAGCTGATTTGAGCATCACGCCGTGCCCGAATATTTAAAAGGCCAGCATCATTAACAAAGTGAGTAAACATAAAGCCTTTCATCATTTCTTTGTCAGCTAATGCAAAGCTGTGGGTTTTTAAGTCTAAGACAAAACAGGGAGTGATGGCATTCAATGTACATGTATGTGTGGAGAATGGCCGAGGGGGATGGGGAGTAGCTAATTGCTGGTGATGTTTAAAAAGGGGATTATGAGAAAAGACAGAGGAACGATCACAGGAAAACAGTTTGGACCACAGCCAAAAGAGAATCAAAGAGGAACAAGTCTGGAGCTTTTGAGACAGCACCAGCTGCTGCTGACAGAGCTTCAATGTGGATTTTTTGGCAGTTCCTAGTGAGGGAATGTGTGGGTCTTGAAGCCAGGGGGAATGCTGTGCCGATATCTGGAACAAGGGGATGAGAGCTATGGGACAGGTAACTGTAGGTGCATCAAAAAGCTTTTGAGCAATCTCAAACAAAATCTGCCCACAAGACTATGAGAGAGAAAGGTTTCAGAATTAACAATGTGATAGAACTAGTGGTTAATCTTCCATCTCCTGAAGCCATTCAGATTTTCTAGAATGTGAAGGCCATGAATTGCATTTGCCTTTAATAAAGGATCTAGAAAGCCTGCCCAGCTATTTCTGTAGGAGTTGAACAGAAACACACAAACTCCCTCTGCATTCCAACTTTTTTAAAAAAGTCCTGTTTATGCAAGATACTCCCAAGGCTGGGAACTGCATCACTGTTTCCTTAAACATGTGTGGAAAATAGCAGGTTTTTGGATCAATGGGTGTCCTGCTTCCACCTTCTGTGGTTGGTCATCATTCCAAAGCAAGACGTCCTGATGGAGCTGATGCTCTTCTGTTTAATATTCTGTGTGCTTTATCATTGCTCAATTTTGTTCCATCTATCCACAATGGCTCAGAAGTAGAAATGATATTGTTTATATGCAGGAAAGAATGTTTAGGGATATGAATGGGGAAGTCAAGAAAACAGTAGCACCAGACATTTCAAGAGGCCTTATGAATATTTCATTCTTGATGTATTTGCAGAATGCTCAGCATAGCTTGTTCTGGCCAGATCTCCATTTGTGAGCTCTAGGCTTTGCACAGGCTGCACAGACCTGCTTTGAGTGTGGCACCTTTCACTAGTATAGTAACCAAGTCCAGGTAATCAGCAAGTGGTCATTTTCTATAGTCTAAGTTCTCTCTGCATCTGAGCTGGGCTCTTTATTAACCTCTTCTGCCTAAAGTTTTTTTTTCTTGTTTTTCAGTCAGATTAGAAGGGAAGATGGTATTCCCAAGGGCTTTGGTGAAAACAAGCAAGTTCTCCAAGTAAATGGATCAAGCAAAATAGGACAGAAATCTCCAAAAGGAACTGTCGTAGAGTTGAGAAGGCGAGCTTGGCTGTAAGAGTTGGATACTAATAATTCCTGAAAGGAAGGAAGATGTCAGAGTTTGACCAATGTGCTTTCCTGCCTTCTTGTAAGCAAGCTGTCCAAATTCCGACAACCCATCCCCTTTTACTGGGTACACCAAGTTTTTCCATATGTACTATGCACATCAGGACATAAGCAGCACACTTTTTCCTTTGGATGTGTAATTTCTGAAAAACTCATGACAAAACTGTGTTCCAGCCAGTTTCCTTCATCTTACTGCCAGGGCCAGTAGGCTGTCTCTGTTGTGTGGAGTAGCAGGTTTTTGAAACATTACATGAAAGGAAAAATTCCAGAAAAAAATACAGTCATTCAAGTTTATCGCCATGTCTCTACTTCAGTGACAACATGGAATTGCTTCAACATGACTGTTATGAAAAAACAGTCCACACAAGACAAACAAAAGCAGAGAAATTAGTAAACATGTCTGTGGAGAAATAATCATGTGAAATTGTTTGCAAGGCTGAACCAAGTCCGTGCTTCAAATTGATGGATTTAATTGCAGAGTGAAATGCTTATGGAACATGACCAAGAAAGGGAGAAAACAATACAAAAACCAATGTTACAGAGGCAAGAGTAGACATATTTCACAAGAGAGGTTTATAAAACTGTGAACAGTAAGGACAATGTGAATAGAAACATATTTTGCTCTTTTCCCCACTAAAAGTAATATTCAGGATCAGGACTGATTCAGGACAGAAGAAAGCATTTAATTGCACAATATAGATTTAGGTTATCAGATCCATTACTGCTAGAGGTGAAGCAGTAACATGCAAGTCTTCTCTGAATGCAGAACAATCTGATGACTCAGGCTTTTCCTCTCTCCTATAAACTTGGCTATTTGGAAAAAGAGTAGCTAAACATTAGGAACAGCTACACAGTTGAAGACATGTGTCTTTGGTGTGCCACATGAAGTGTCCCACACAGACAAGACTTCTCCACAGTATCACTCAATTTCCTGGGCTCCCCATGCTTTCACAACAGAACAGGGAATGTACTGGTATACAGTTAGGGGTCTGAACAGCCAGGAAAATGGCAGCTGTTGGAAGGCAAAAAAGAAATCAAAATAGAAGTGTGTGATCCAGCAAAGTCTGAATTCAAATTTCCTTGATAACAATATCACAAAGCATATGCCAAATTCTCCTGTTCAAGTCAATTAAATTTACAAGTTGTTGACTATGCTTGAACTGCACTGCCAGTATTCACAGATTGAGTTTTCGAATTTCTCTGTTAAATCTGTATCCTTCCACTCCACAAAATGATCATCAAGGCATCCAATACATTTTGTACAGCCCATCAATCTATATAATATCTATATCTATATCTATAGCTATATATCTAGATATCTAGATATAGATATATAATAGCCAGAATTCTGAGTACTGTAATAACAACTTGACAGAAACAGGTGGATACATGCAAAATTACTTTCCACAATTTTTGAAAACAAATTATCTTTCTAAAATTATTCCCTTAAAACCTGGTTGCAGAGGAGGGAAAACATAAAAATGCACACAGACATCAACATGAATGGTCTTAACCGACCATAGGTGGGATATAAATAAAATAAACAAATAAATAAACAAATAAACAAATAAACAAATAAATAAACAAACAAACAAACAAACAAACAAACAAATAAATAAATAAACAAAGAAGAGTTCTGTTTTAATAATCTTTCCCTCATGCCTAATATGAACACAGATATGGGTTTATTAGGACATGCTATTATGACAATTGAAGCCACAGATTTTTGTGAACTTTGTGTTCTTTTACTATACTACATGATTACATTCTTATGACACTGAATCCTTATGCAGCTTAAACTGATTTCATATAAATGCAAGCATAACATAAATATTCACATTCTTAACAATCTGCTGGGAAAGACAAATTCCATGTTTAAAGTCATTGGGAAAGAAATTGAAAAATAAACTGCCACTATAAAAATGCCTTTATACAAATACATCGTGTGATCATACTCGAAGTATTTATACAGTTCTAATTGCCACTTTGAAAAGGACATGGTAGAGAGGAACAGTGTAGCAAAGAGCAACCCAAAGGATCAGGGGACTGAAGCCAGTCCCTGTAATGAAAGGTTACAAAAGTGCCCTACTCTTCAGCTTAGAAAAAAAGGTGAGTTGGGGGGCATGAAAAATTTAAATTTTGCACGGTGCAGGGAAAGCGAGTAAGGAGAGGCTTTCTCCCGTCTCTTATAGTAAGAGAACCCAAGGGAGTCATCAGCTGAAGCTAGATACTGAGATGTGCAGAAGAGTTAAACTGGTGTATTTCTCCACACAGCACATTGTTAAACTGTAACATACTATTCTACAAGATGTACGGATCGGATGGCTTTACAAGAGTTACAGACTCATGAAAGATAAAGCTAACTTGCAGCTGCTTGCCATGGTAGCTATGTATTTCATCCTCTGTCAGAGACAATATACCTTTTAATGCCAGTTGCTGCTAAATGTAAGTGCACTAGTAGTTCCTGCACATGGGCTTTCCAGAGGCATCTGCTGACTATTATGAGGACATACTGGAATGAGCAGCTCTTCAGTCTGATCCAGGTGTTATTCTATAACATTTGCTTGTCTCTTTCCCTGCCCCTCAGTCCCAAAGGTTGCATCAGGTGAAGCTGCTCTATTTTAGGTAAGACCCACTTTATAGAATCTTATAGAGATTTTGCAGCTCAGTGTGATCTGTTTCTCTGAGGGCAACAAGCTCTGTATCTTTTCTACTTCTCTTGGGCCCTACCATATTGCACCTATCCAGCTTTGGTCATGATAGATTACCAGATGCAGCTGAGTCAGCTGCCTACTGCTGAAGCCAGAGAAAACTGAAGTTTATAGTGATTGGCTGGTTCTGCAACTTGGAAGGGAAATAAATGGCCTCACAACAGTTTATTCCCACTAACAAATTCTTCTCAAAAATGGCCAGGATAATTCATCCAACAGTCACAAGAGAATTGTAACTTTCAGCAACAGTAATGTTTATTTCTTTTGTTTCAAAGTAAAATCTTTGTGTCATTTTATGCAACTTCCACACTAATTTATCCAAATAAATTTTTCATGAGCTGACACACTGTATCAAATCAACTGCAATTTCCTCCTTCTTCCTCACACACTCATAAAAGGTGGATTTCAGTCTCTTTACAGTCTTGTAGTGCTGCTTCTGGAAGCATTGGGAGGTGTTCTAGGCCTGGGAGCCTAAGAATTCAACAGGTAACATATTTTTGTTTCATAAATCCATTTTTGAAAAACCTGTCTGCGATCCCTTCAGTTAGCAGGGATCAACGGAATCCATTTTTGAAAGTCCTGTGGCTGTTTCATCACCAGTAATCTAGCAGTTCCACTATACCTCAGGTACTTAGGAAAGCAAAAGCAAGCAAACAAACCACACCACCATCAAATTTTTTAAAAAATTAGACTGCAATCCTATGCACATTTACTTGATAGCTTGAATTGGCATAGAATTGGTTATTAAATGCTGAGACCTACCTCAACAAGCCATTGAGGCAAAGCTGTGGCAACAACATCGCTCCACTCAAATGTGGAAAGAACGCTTGTCCTTTGTCAAAGGTGGTGGAAGGTCTTTCTTTTCATCATCTGCAAATGTTAAAAAAAGGGGGGAAGAGTTCTGTTTTAATAATCTGAAAATTGGGGCATACCAGATAAAGCTCACAAAAAAAGATGATATGATATATTCAAAAGCAAAACAGTGGAAATTTGAAAAGATCAAAAGTTTCAAAAGACTCAAAAGATGTTAGCTGGGACAATAAACATTAGATTACCTGAGAGTTAAGAACTTTCTTAATCATTGTTATGATCTTGTCACATTTTCCTTTCAGTCTGTTTCCCTGTCACTTTCTTATCACTTCTAAACCATCAGCTCAATTGTGTTTTCTCACAGGAAAACCACAGAAGGTATACCCAGTCACCAAGGCTTTCAATATTGCTAGAATGTATTTATATTTTTTATTTCAAACATTTTATGCCACTCCCCTATGAAAAAGGCTCCTGGAAACTGACTACATACAGTCAGTTTAAAAAACAAGACAGCCCCTGCCTGCAGGCTGATGATATAAAAGGATGTGGTACAAAAGCAAAAAGGGAAGGAAAGCAAAAAGTGTTGCAGGAGCCTGCAAACCTGATGAAGCTCCAGGAGAAGCCTTCAGGAAGGTAGTTTTCATGACAAGGCAGAAAGACAGCATTGAGGCAGAGGCAGACACCGCTGAAGCAAGAAGGGGCAACAGAAACACGGATGGGATTATGCCCCTCCTCCTCTCCTTTTTACTAGAGGACAATGGAGTAGCACTGGTTCCTGTAATGGCTTGGGAGAAAGTGTTACCATTAGGAAATCTATTGGTGGAATTGGGAGTAAACCTCCATAGTTGCCCCTCAGAACCAGATAAAAAGCAATCTGAGAGCTGCTGTCTCAACCTTTTCAATTATGAATTACCATACTTCTGCCTCAGAGGACATTCCTATGCCTCGGCTCAACTCAAAATCCTCTGCTGCTATCTGCTCATCCTGTTCACATTTCTGCTTACATCTTCGACCATGTTATGATTGCAACAAGCTATTTCTCACTGTTTTTTGAGCCCAGACACATATTTTCTGCTCCTTCTGCTGCTACATAATTATATGCACCCAGTGCTTTATCATCACCACTCTTCTCCACGTAGCAGGAAAGGCTGCCAACAGGAGGAGCGGTGTAATCTTCATGTTGCAAAAATGTGGGCAGAGGGCAACTGCAGTGGAAGCTTCTAGTGCCAGTATGCCAGCCCTGCGTCCTCAAGACAGCAACAGGTTCACTAGTTAAATCAATCACCACCCCTGGGGACAGATTTTCCATCTGCTTCTTTGGTTCCTGGTTCCATCATGGAGGTGCAAGGAGCCTGCCTGGACCCTCATAAAATAGAAGCATTGCTTACAAGATCAGCAAAAAAGGCTCTTCCGTCTTTCTTTCTCTTCATATACATCACTTCCAGGACAGGCATTGCAATGCTTTCCCAGCCTCCCTTTTTCGTGGTGAGTCTGAAGCTCTCTTTATGTACTCCAAAATGCATGTCTCAAAAGGGTAAACATTGTCCTCACTCTTATCTTCGCCAGACTTTTTGAAAGGTGTTACCAGGGACTCTATTTTTAACAAAGTTTATTGCACATAGACAACTCAGTCTTTACCTTCTTGGAACAGTATAGAATGGGCACTGGAGCAGAAGAGTAGTGGCATGATTCTGCCGCTCCATCTACATTAATTCATTGTTACATGGGAAGAGGGCTGTGAATGTAGGATAACTCTTGATATGGGAAACTGCCCACCTTTGGCTGACACATGATCATTTTTATTATAAATCTCTTCCTGACCTATGCTGACTATTATTTACGTTCCTCATGTAGATGATCCACCTGGTGATTAGGTGTCCAGAGGGTTTTTAAAAAGGCTTTACAGAGATCAGAAGTCAGTATTCTCTTACCCGCTGTTTCCTAAGCAGTGACTACAAAGATAGCCCTGGATGCCACAATTCCTACATCAAAAGCACAGACCGCAAAAATGCCAGAATTATGGGCACAGCCTGTAATTTTCACATCATAGTTTTAAGATATAAAATTATTTCTTTATGCTATACGCTACCAGTTTCCATGGCACCACTGAGGCTAAAAAGTATTATTTGCACGATGGATAAGAGAAACTTAAAACTTTTATAAAAACACCAAAGTGCATTGAACGTTCGTTTAGTCGTGTCCGACTCTTCGTGACCCCATGGATCAGAGCATGCCAGGCCCTCCTATCTTCCACTGCCTCCTGTAGTTGTGTCAAATTCATGTTTGTGGCTTCGCAGACAATGTTCAGCCATCTCATCCTCTGTGCATTGAACAGCCATATTTAAATAAGAGAAGCTGCTTGAAGAAGCAGGACACTCATGCTAGCTTACAGGTACTTCTGCACTACGCTCTCTCAGCTTTGTGAAATACAACTGCTGTGCACTAAGATACTGTTTATTTATTTCAATATTATTTTTTTGAGAACTGGGACTCAAAGTGCCCCACCAAATGATTAAAATACAGGTACTTACTGATGAAAAACATGATAAACTATACTATTTAATACAATTAAACAAATTATGATATTAAAATGTTATTAAATACAAAACAAATTTTAGAGTACAGCACTTAAATAGACTGGCAGCCTAATAAAACTGTTCCTGCCCCCACCTGGCAATCTTTGTGTGTCACAGCAGACAAAACAAACATTCAACACTGGACAGTATTAGTCCCATCAAACGGTAAGCCTTTTGGCTATGTATTTTTATTTTTTACCCATTTGACATTAGTGTATGAAATGCAGACAATGGGGTCACAGCAAGAACACAAACACCTAAGGGTTCTGAATGGGTATTGTTGTAAATAGACAGAGAAAACATCTGTAGGGTACAGCACTGATGAAATGCCTTCAAGAGAGCTATTTTTGAAGTAATTTCATCAGTGCTGTATACTGATGAAGTTGTTCTGTACCAGAAATATCCAGTAAATTCAAGAGATAATTGTCAGTGAACAGATAAGGATCTCAGTAGGAATGTGACCCAACCATTATAAGCCTAGGGTAAATGCATCATAAAATGTAGTTTGTTAATTTATTTACATAACAGTTGTTGAGTCTTAATTATTTATGATAATAATTCATAATGTATCAGTAAATGTACTACTGCACAATAATTTTGTTAAGAAGGTAACAACTGTACAAAAAAACCCCTCTTGTTTTCCTCTCAGGCTTGAAATTTGGCAAAACAGCATTCTGTCTGTCTGTCTCTCTTACACACAACATTTTTGTGGAAGACATAAAAGCTTGAAAGAGACGATGTTCCTGAGGGGACTCAGGCAGCACTGGGGGCTTAGCAGAAATGTGGTGGGGTGCCTCACCTACTGTACCCCTTGCTAGGTGGAGATTGTTATAGCAGAATGGCACTACCAGAGGAGAGGAGAGGTGAAGCTCTGGCCACATGCAATTCCCACAGGAGCTGTGATGCAGAATGCACAGCCCCCACAGCCCCCTGGGACGACATGCTCCTTTTTAAATTCTTGGCTTTTCTTCCATTTAGCTCGATCATTTCTATTCCCTGACCCGGCAAAAGCAGTTGGTTCTGCAGTCTGATTAAAGGAACTGGGCATTTGATCTGTAATTGTTTTTCAATGGCTGTATCTTCTTCTATGTTATTGCTTTACATGGCTTGCGTTTGTACAATATTGAAAATCAATAAAAGTACAAAAATGTATTCCCCCCCCCTCTTAAAAGTGAAACGATCTTGTTAGGATTCTGGTGCAGATGCTTTCCAGTGGCAGCCTCCTTCCCTCCTCCCCCTTTCCTTTCCTCTGTTTTTCTTTTTTTTTAAAAAAAACTGGCCTTTAAGAAAGAGGCCTAAGGCTGAGGGGGCTCCCCCCCTGCCCAGAAGAGCCCAGGAGCACCAACCATGGCAACCACCGGGCAGAGCTGGTGCTTACCGCTGAGAGGCAGGCCTGGTCTGGCCTTCCCACCTGAGGCCTCTCTCAGAGCAGCCAGGCTGCTGGGGGCCGCCCCCCTCGTCCTCCTCAGCACCCCACGCCACAGGGGTCATCGGCAGGCCGGAAGAAGGGGCGCCATGGCTCTGGAGCAACCGCCACACCCGCTCCCCATCCTCCTCCCCTCAGCACGGGGCCCAATTCTCTCCCGGCAGGGAGGGAAGCCACCTTTCCTGCCTCTTTTGACCCCCCCTCCCCTGCGTGACCAAAGGGGCTGAGCAATGGCTGACAGGGGCCTCTGGGTGTGTGTCTCTGTGTGTGTGCGTGCCAGGGGTTTGTGCTTTCCGCCCTCCTGAGGCTGTTGTTTCTCCCCCAAAAGAATGGCAGCTCTTCCACGCCTGGAAAGGATTTTCCTCAGGGAGAGTGCGGCCCTTTTCAGTCTCCTCACAGCATGGAGGACGGGCCTTGGAGGGGCCCTCTGCCCCAATTGGCCAGGCCGCCTCAGCTCTCCTCGCCATTGGCTCTTGGGGGTGCTTGTTTCAGACTGCCCCGGAATAAAAGGAGAGCCCTGAGGTGGTTTCCCTCAGAAGCTGCAGTGGCTGCTTTTCCCTCCATCTCTGTGGTCTCCCTTTGGGAAGCTGCTCCCAGATGGGCTGAATGAGAGTCCTGAACCGTTAATAAACACATGACAACAATAATAAAAATAAAAATCTTCAAACTGCAGAGCTGTTCCCAGCCTCTTAAACCAACAAGCTATCCAGTCGTTAACACTGTCAGGTGAAGCTCTGCTTAGGTGGAGTTACCATTATCTCCATTCTGTCCCCTCACATCCCAGTCATGGCCAGAAAGGGTGGATTAAAGACACCTGTGGCAACGGCAGGACCTTTTTAGGGGTGGCCCAAGACTTCCAGGGAGAAGGTTCTGACATTCTGAACATTTTCATATATGAGAGAAAGAGACTGTGGTAACTTCTTCAAAAATGTGACAAGATACACACTCTTTAAATAGGAGAATGTCCTTATCCGGACGTTTAAATTTTGAAGTATGTGCTGCAAGATGCCTTTTACCACATGCTGTGTTTTCATATTGGAGAAAAGACGCCTTCCATTTGTTTTCTTTTTAGTTATTTAATTCACTGAAAGACATAGTATAATCTCAAAGCAACTTTGATTTGGGTCACTTCTGGACAGTTTGTCTCAAAACCCATTTTTGGAAAACAAACAAACAAAGCCACCTAGACCCTGATTCAGTCCATGTTTATGACTTGGAAATAAGGCTATAGGGAGAAAGGCAAAGAAACAGATACATCACTCTGAACTTTGAAGGAAGAGTTGAATAAAAATGCTATTAAAGGTCTTTTCCAAACCTTCCATAGTATAGGAACATCCACACTGGTCTCCCTTGCAACCTGTCTTAAGAGTTCATAGCTCCTAAAACATTTTGAAGAACTAACAAAAAGAATATAAAATCTATATTTGTTTGTTTTTTAGTTTAAGGAGGGAAACATTTGTTGTTATACACTTCTTTCAATGTGATTTAAACACATACAACAGTTTAACATTTCTGTCTCATTTATTATCTGACTTGATGAAACCTGCACACCATATGGAATTATAGTTAGAGTTAGCAAATGTGTTGGCAGCCTATGGATTCCCCCCCCCCTTTCGAAACAACAAAGCTACCCTCATTTTTTAAAAAGAGGATTTTTTAAATTACTTTCAATGGCAGGTGTAGGGAAACCCAAGAAAGGTTGAAGCATCCCTCTGCCTTTCTCACACAGGACAGAGTTTTTGCCCTGCCCACTGGTGAAAATATTAAGAGATAAAAGGGGACTCCACTGCAATCCTATATCTACTTTGCCAGGAGGAAGTCTTGTTGAATTCAATGAGTCTTTTTTTCAGAGAGCCAGACTAGTCTATTTCAGTATGTATAACAAAAGCAGAACAAAAATAAAAAGCAGAAGTATTTTGCCACCACAAAACTAGCACACTTATTTCAGTGTGAGCTTTTGTGGATCAAAATCCACTTCCCTAGATACATGGATGTCTTGATTCTGACGGCTGATTCTCAATAGACATTTATCATCATATCATCATTTTTTTAACTGATATCCTGGTTCAGGCAGACTTTCAGAAATCAGACTTCAGGCAGACATTCATGAAATCAGGCCATAATGCAAAGAAACGTATTTTGCAAATTGCATGAAGTGAGCAAAGCTCTTCCCATGCACTCAGGCGCTTCTATCAATTAAGGAATTCCCTCTTCTAATCACAGGCTATCTGTAATGCTTATTTCTGCCATTAGTCTGTGGCTCTGATTGATGCTGGAAATGCTGTGTTGTTAACACAAAGAGAGATTTTACCCACTGAGATTACATCCCCAACAGCCTTATGGGGTTTGTGTGTGTGTGTGTGTGTGTGTGTGTGCGTGCGTGTGCGCGCGCATGTATGTGTGTGTGCGCGCACGCGCACGCGTTCCGTAAATAACATTCTGGTGTTCACATGGGTTATTTAGAATTTCTGATGAAACTGCAGAAATGTCAATGCGGAGTGGGACAGCCAATCAGGAAACAATTCTCTGACCTTTGCCCTTTCCTTTTTCAGTAGCATTGCTATTGTCTTGGGGGTGGGAGGCCCTCCTTGCCTTTTGTTATGCCTTTTTTATGATCTAGGATTCTGATAATAATGATTCCACATTACATAAAACAGATAGATTAATGTCACCAAGTCCCCAAAGTATAGAATCAACTAAACCCCTTTAGAAAGGAGGGGAAGGGGGGGGAGAAACACAGATAGCAGCGCCTTAATAAAACTGAAAGGAGAGTGGATGTTCCCCTAATCTGTCTTTGAAATGGGATATTTAAAGGACCCTGTGGCTAACAGAGACCAGAGTCTTCCCAAGGTAATGAGCCTGTCTGAATGGCCTGCTACAAAACAAATAAAAAGTGTGATGTTTGCTAATGGGGGAAGGATGGAGAGGAGGTGGCCAGACCCAGGGGCCTGTCCACCTTTCATCTAAGAGGTGCACTTCTTTCTAGGCTTGGCTCTTTACTGGAGGGGCACAAGTTGTTGGGTTTCAGTGGAAGACAGAATGCTGTGACTCGACCCTCTTTGGAATGGAGAGACCTGTGAGCTTCTTGTGGGTTGGGAACCCAGATCTGCATTCTACAGTCCCAGGTAGACGGACAAGATATGTGTAACTAGTGGCAATGACCATAGTAATCAAAAGCATCACCAGTGTCCATATTAGAAAAAATGCTACATCCTGGTTAAAAGATCCTGGATGAGGTCATTTATGTCAATAATCAGGGTTCATCTCCCATATTGTTTGTCTGTTGCCATTCTTCCACCATGCTGTACAAAAGGCAATCGCTGTGACACACCAGCAAAACCTTTGTCACTAGAGAGGTACATGGCAGAGCCTCAGCTGATAACACGCACATAAAACATGTCCAGAAAGGAGCCCTTAATGCAAGACCTCCTCCCTTCCACTCTGGGGAAGCACAGGGTACACTTAGGACCTGGGGGGCCCACCCAACGGATTGGAGTGAGATGGTGCAGCCCAGTGCCCAGTTCAACATGAGACTGATCTGACAGGCAGTGTGAAACCTTGCCTGTGGGCATTTGTAAAGCTAGAGGAGGACAGGATCTATTATTAATGTCAGAAAGTGAGGTGAAATCAGGGCAGGGAAATAACATTAACCATGATTAGTACACATTACCAAAGAGGCCCAGGAGTTACCTTTTGGATGCATAGAAACCACAGCAAAAGCCCCGGGCTCCAGGATCCTGTGTAATTGTGCAAATCTCTCATATCTGCTGATGAATAACTTTCATTCATTGAAGGAGGCTATAATGAAGGGATTGCTAATGATAACCAACTTTGCCAGAAGCGTTTGGAATTCTATGGGTCATACTCATTTTGCTCTGATTTGCTTATGGGGAGGAATATAAATCTATCCGTTATTAACTGTGGGATGGGTGACAAGCAGGGACACGGAGACCAGGAGAAAGATCACTGTGGAAGTCTCATGAATAAATGCAAGGAATGACAAAATCCCTTTGAACATTCTCTGGTTTTTATACAAATTTGCCCAGCTTCCAGCTTCTGTCCTCAACATTCCTTCTGAAAGTGAGAGACACCGCATCACACCCAAAGTCTGAGCATCCCTGACAAAAGGACAAACTGTCGTTGATCAATGCTTTAAGAAGAAAAGAAGGAGAAGAAGGTGATCTTTCTGAATGCACAGCTGCCATCACAAAGCAAGCTGGGTGGGGTGGGGGGATTGCACAGAGAGGTTCTGAAGTCCTGGTCAAAATCTGTTTATTTATAAATGTATAGGTTGAGAAAATGATTACAGCAGTGGCTTTATAAGACTTCTAAAGATTCACTGAACAATGGTTTGGGTACTCAGTAGACCTAAAAGATTTAATTAGCACACCAACAGTATCTGCAATACCGGGAGAATCACATTCCAGCATTCAAATGGGATTGTGCACAGCCTTTTTCTTAAACAGCCCCTCACATTCCAAAACTGGCCCAACTGGATGCAGTGACTCCTCACAGTGCAAAGGAGGTGGAAGCATGGCTCTCCACTAAATGTAGATAAAACCAGTGCTTGAAAATAAAACAAAAAAAGGCTATGAATTGCTAGGACTCAACATTTTGGTTTGGAAATTTCAGAGAGTGGTACATGGCCCACCAAGGCAAACCTACATTTGGGGTTCATCTTCAGGGCTTCTGGAGCTGCTATTTAGACATGTTCAGGTACAGTTATCATTTTTTGTCCTCTTGTGTGTTCTAGAACAGTGGTTCTTAACCTCTGTTACTTGGATGCTTTTGAACTGCAACTCCCAGAAACCCCAGTCAGGACAGCTGGTGGTGAAGGCTTCTGGGAGTTGCAGTCCAAAACTCCTGAGTAACCCAAGGTTAAGAACCAGTGCTCTAGAACAATGGTGGTGAACCTATTTGGGCTTGTATGCCGAAACTAGAAAAAACAAAACAAAAAAACAGTGGGCGGCATGCCACGGCGGCAGCAGCGGAACCACAATGGCAGCAGCAGAACCTGAAGTGGCAGCAGAAGGGGGAATCCCAGCACGGAGGTGCCTCGAGAACCCACTTCGGATCCACCTGCCGAAGCGCCAACACCACGGCTGCAGCCGTCGTCTCAGGTTTGGCTGCGGGGTGGGGGGAGGGGAGTGATCCGGCAACATATGGCTCGCATGCAGGCAGAAAGGGCTCTGCATACCAGCTGTGGCACACATGCTATAGGTTCGCCATTGCTGCTCTAGAACAATTGCAGGTCTGCTGCTGGAATTC